AAGAGTTTTCCATAAAACATACAACCTACTCTCTATTAGGACTCTATGTATATGAGTCTGTTTAGAACTTCTTATCCTTGTCACACTGTGACTCTCTACTTCTTATCATTGTCACACTGTGACTCTCTATTCTATATAATCACATCATCTGATCTCATTGTAATCAAGTTCAGAAAATATAGTACAATCAGTTCTCATCTGGTATCAGTTAGCTAGGATTTTGTGATTCATAAAATCAAGAAGATGCAGCTCTGCGATGGCAACCTTAATTACCGTGGAGGTCAGCAACGTGGCTTCGATGATCCGTGTCAAATCTGTAAAGGTTTCGGCCACACAGGAGTCAATTGTTTTTGGCGCTATGATGATCCGTGTCAAATTTGTAAACGTTTTGGTCACACGGGAGCCAATTGTTTTTGGCGCTATGATGATCCGTGTCAAATTTGTAAACGTTTTGGTCACACGAGAGCCAATTGTTTTTGGCGCTATAATGATCCGTGTCAAATTTGCAAAAGTTTCGGTCACACGGGAGTCAACTGTTTTTGGCGATATTCAGGGGCTCCGGGTTCTCAGGCTAATTTGGTGTTTCAAAATGGTTTAGTTGCTAAAACCTCGTCAAATTCTCATACTTGGGTTCTGGACACTGGAGCCACAAATCATGCAACTCCAAACATCGCTGCTCTTTCTACATCGGAGAAATACACTGGTAATGACACTTTACGTGTCGGTGACGGTATGGGTTTATCTATTAGTCATGTTGGCCATGCCTCTTTTAATACCCCTTCTAGATCATTTACATTGTCTGATATACTTCACGTTCCGCGTTTGTCTAATTCTTTATTATCTGTTTAGAAGTTTGCATCCGATAATAAAGTCTTTTTTGAGTTTCACCCCTCCTTTTTTGTTGTGAAAGATATCAATACCAAGGAAATACTTCTTCGGGGCAATAGTTCGGGGGGACTATACACACTTTCATTACCTAGTTCGTCTCCGTCAGCGTTTATTTCCGCTCGTGCCTCGGCTTCCACTTGGCACAATCGTCTAGGTCATCCTCATAACCGTGTTCTTAGCCATATACTTCATTCTTGTTTGGTTAGTGGGTCTCGTGATAATATTCGTTGTCATAATTCTTTATGCAATGCGTGTCAATTAGGCAAATCTGCCCGTTTTCCCCTCCACCGTGTTGCTTCCTCTAGTTCTCAAGTCCTAGATCTTATTTACACAGATATTTGGGGTCCTGAGCCCACTTTATCTACTTCTGGCTTCCGTTATTTTGTGATCTTTGTGGATGACTATTCCTGTTATACATGGTTCTTCCCTATGAAATTAAAGTCTGATCTTTATGTCATCTTTGATAAATTTCGTACTCTTGTTGAACGGTCCTTTAATTGCAAAATAAAGGCCATTCAGTCTGATTTAGGTGCTGAGTACAAAAAGTTACATTCTTTGTTTGTTCAATTAGGAATTCAACATAGACAATCTTGTGCCTGTACACATGAACAGAATGGTCGTGTTGAACGAAAACATCGTCACATTGTTGAAACTGGTCTGGCTCTTCTAGCTCATGCCTCTGTTCCTTTGAAATTTTGGGATTTTGCCTTTGAGACTGCTGTCTATTTAATTAACAGAATGCCATCTTCTGTATTAAATAACTCCAGTCCTCATCTCCTGTTACATAAATCCCCACCTTCCTATCTTTTTCTTCGTGTCTTTGGGTGTTTATGCTACCCTCATCTTCGACCATATAATCGTCATAAGATGTCATACAGGTCTTCTCCATGTGTCTTCCTAGGTTATCCTGAGTCCTTTAGGGGGTACAGATGCATGGACTTACATACTAATAAGATTTACACATGCAGGCATGTCAGATTTGATGAAGAAGTTTTCCCCTTTGCTACTAAAACTTCTTTGCAGGATCTATCTACTCCGTTTTCTGGACCTTGGGCGGAATCTGTTCTCAGTCACAGCACACCTACTCCTACCGTGTCCAATGATGAGCTGCCAGAACCGCCGCTACCTGCTTCATTCGAACCAGCCGTGGATTCCGGACAGGCTGCCTCGTCGGGTGATCTTGTGGAGCCTGTTGCTCGCCGGCGAGGCCGTCCACGTGGGCGGTCCATCAGGCCCAATGTCCGTACTCACTCTATGGCCACTCGCAGCAACGCAGATGCTCCTCTTTTTGCTCTAGCAGCTCAGGTGCATCCCACGGAACCCACATGTCGCTCTCAAGCTGTTAAATATCCTGAGTGGCGTGAAGCCATGGACGAAGAATTCAATGCTCTCCTGCATAACCACACATGGTCTCTAGTTCCACCCACTGCAGGTATGAATATTATTGGTTGTAAATGGGTGTTTCGTACGAAGAGAAAGGCTGACGGTGCTATTGAAAGGCATAAAGCCAGGCTGGTTGCGAAAGGTTTTAATCAGGTTCCAGGTCAGGACTTCTTCGACACTTTTAGTCCAGTGGTAAAGCCCACGACTGTAAGACTCCTTCTATCTCTAGCTTTATCATCTGGGTGATCTATCAAACAGCTAGATGTTCATAATGCTTTTCTGAATGGTAATCTGGCTGAAACAGTTTATATGAAGCAACCCCCTGGTTATATTGATGATAACTTCCCGAATCATGTTTGTTTGTTAAAAAGATCTCTATATGGGTTAAAACAAGCTCCCAGAGCTTGGTTTAATCGACTACATACGTTCTTACTATCGGTTGGCTTTCAAGCATCCAAGACAGATGCCTCTTTGTTCTATTACTCTAAAGACTCTGCTTTGGTTTATCTATTGGTGTACGTGGATGACATTCTTGTAATGGGAAGTGATCAGGGTATGGGAAGTGATCAGGGTATTATGTCTTAGCTCTTATCCAAACTGTCTGCTACATTCAAAATCAGAGATCTTGGTGAACCAAAATTTTTTCTGGGTATTGAAACAGTTAAGAGTGACAATGGGATTATTTTATCTCAACAACGGTATATGAATGATATTTTAAAACGGGCTGGAATGTCTGAATGCAAACCCCTTTCTTCACCTATCTCTGTCTCGAAAAGTGTCCCCTTCAATTCAGATCTATATGATGATCCCACACAGTACAGGAGTCTAGCTGGAGCATTGCAATATCTCACTGTCACACGACCTGACCTATCATTTGCAGTTAATCAGTTATGCCAGCATATGCATGCTCCCACCATATCACACTGGGAGCAGCTCAAACGGGTACTCAGGTATGTTAAGGGAACAGTTGATCATGGTTTACGCATACGACGATGCTCATCTAGAGACATTCATGCTTTCTCTGATTCTGATTGGGCTGGTTGTCCTGATGATCGAAAATTCACGAGTGGTTTTGCTGTTTTCTTGGGGAGTAATCTTATATCATGGGTTTGCAAGAAACAGAGAACTGTTGCCAGGTCATCCACTGAGGCTGAATACAAAGCTCTTGCAGATGTTTGTGCTGAGGTTCTATGGATTATGTCATTATTGCGTGAGATACAGATTCCGGGTATTTCCATTCCAAAATTATGGTGTGATAATCTAGGAGCTACATATATGAGTGCCAATCCAATCTTTCATGCGCGCACCAAGCATGTGGAGATTGATTATCATTTTGTTCGTGATCGAGTAGCTTCGAGCGATATCCAAGTCAACTTCATCTCCACAAAGGATCAACTTGCTGATATCTTCACCAAAGCTCTGTCTGGACCTAGATTTTCTTCCTTAAGGGACAAGCTACAGGTTACTAGTATACACTGTGCTTGAGGGGGAGTATTAGGACTCTATGTATATGAGTCTGTTTAGAACTTCTTATCCTTGTCACACTGTGACTCTCTACTTCTTATCATTGTCACACTGTGACTCTCTATTCTATATATTCACATCATCTGATCTCATTGTAATCAAGTTCAGAAAATATAATACAATCAGTTCTCATCCTCTCTTCTAGGGTAAACAAATCAAACACTTTCATTTTCGCCCGGAGCCAAAAAGCTGACGAATACGGGGGAGGGTAGGTTTTTTAAATTTTATTTTAGAGTTAATTTTACTTTTCATCTTATGACTATTGAAGTCTTGTTAATTTCAATTTATGATTTTTAAAATAATCAATTTAGTATCTTAACTATTCAATTTTTATCAATTCTGATCACACCGACCAAAACTCATGGGAAAATATTAATAGGTAAAATAAAGAGGTATTTTAGTCTTTTTACTTCTCTTATCTTTCTTCTTTAACAATCCTCATTTTTTTACCTATTAATATTTTTCGATAAGTTTTGACATGCAATTTGGTCGGGTTGACTAAATTGATAAAAAATGAATAATAGTTAAGGTACTAAATTGACAATTTTAAAAATCGTGAATTGAAATTACCAAAATTCCAATAGACATACCAAATGTGAAATTAACTCTTTATTGTATTTAAAATTATTAAAATAAATTTAAAAAATTAATTTTTGAATATGATGATTGCCACATTAACTATAAAAATATGTCAATTTTGATCAAATGACATAATTTTAGACAATTTAGGAATTTAATTGTAGTTTTTTGAATTAAATGATTTAATTACATTTTCAGGCTTAGTTTATTGGCTAATTTATTTATTTTTTCTTAAAAAAGAATTATTAGACCAAGTGGAGTAAAAGATAGAGAAGAGAGTAGGGAGTAAACGAATTGAATTGAGTCAAATAGCTTACTATTAGATTTCAATTCGATTTTATTCAGGATTATTCGTATTTATCAAATATTCGAATATCAAATTTTATTTGACTATCACATTAGTGTTAATGAGAAGGATATGTTAATTTTGATTGAATTGAATAGTTTTGAATAGTTCAAGGATCCAATGTAATTATTTTTTTTCTTTTTGAATTGAATTGTCCAATTACATTTTCGAGTGTAGTTGGAGATATAATTTGAACATTTTATTTCTTTTACTTTATGCTAAAAAGGTATAATAGACGTAGCAGGTATCACGTAAGTTTTGCACGCTCAAACAAAAAATATATTCATAAAATGATCTCCGCACCAATAAACAACTAAGCCAATGGGATTATTGAAACATTACAATAATACTGGAGTTGTACGTACACAGATCATATCATATCATATTATGCCCATACAATATGGCTAAACTTTGAGAAACTCTCATAATTTTCTCTTTTCTTGATTTAATTAAGCAGATTTTAATGTGTTGCCAATATCCAGCACAAATCTATATTTAACGTCAGCTTTTACTAGCCGCTCCATAGCTGTGTTGATATAGTCTACTGGAATAATCTCAACATCTGGTGCTATCTTATGCTTTGCTGAAAAGTCAAGCATTTCTTGCGTCTCCTTAATTCCACCAATCCCACTTCCGGCCACTAGCTTCCTACCTGCACTTATCCATAACCACAATATATAATTATGATATAAATATATGTGTATCAGTTTTACTCTGTTAATTACATATAAAGATGTGTGGTTAGTGGTTACCCATGAGCAAGGGAAACACTGGCAACTCAAGTGGTTTTTCTGGGCCGCCAACAATGACCAGCTTTCCATTAGTTTTCAACAAGAATAGTAATGGCATAATAGGGTGAACTGCAGAAACTGTGTCGATTATACCATCCAATGTGCTCATTGCAGCCTACTCAAAATACCAACCAATTACAATATAATTCAATAATCATCAAAGAAAAGTATTTATGGATAACTGTTACCTGCATTTGTTGTTGGTCATGGCTGATCAAGAACGAGTCTGCGCCAAGGTGTTGAATAGCCTCTTGCTTTTTACTAGCAGAGGTGCTAATCACGGTCACCTTAGCTCCAAAAGCCTTGGCGAATTTCACAGCCATATGGCCAAGGCCGCCTAGGCCGACAACGCCGATGTTCATTCCGGGCTTGTCAAGTCCGAAGTATCTCAAGGGGCTATAAGTTGTGATTCCGGCGCAGAGCAGTGGAGCTGCCTCCATGGGTAAATTTTCCGGCCATCTGAGCACAAAGTGCTCGTCGGCCACCATGATGTCGGAGTAGCCACCAAATGTCATGGTCTTATTAGCGTTGTATGTTGGTATACCTCCAGGGCAGTAGTTTTCTAGATCGCTGGCACAGTTTTCGCACTTGCGACAGGATCCAACCAGACATCCCACGCCTACTTTGTCCCCAACCTTAAATTTCTCGACCTTGCTCCCAACCTCAGTCACCACACCAGCAATTTCGTGGCCGGGAACAATGGGATAGGTAGTGTTACCCCATTCATTCTTGATCTGGTGAAGATCGGAGTGGCATACCCCACAGTACAAAACCTTGAATTGCACATCCTTTTCACCCGTTTCCCTGCACCCATTAAAACCCAGAAATTAATTTTCACAACTATATATGCATTCAATATTGACCCAAACACAAATTTGGCATACCTTCTGGAAAACTTGAAAGGAGAAAGAACGCCAGAGGTGTCCCTAGCTGCCCATCCAAAGGCCTTCACTGGGTGTTCTGTTTCGTATGAATTTTCTGCCATTTTCCTTTAGGGAGAGATTAGAATTTGAGATGAGAGTGATCAAAAGTGTTTGTGAACTCAACCAAAATGTGGACAGAATTGAACTGAATGGTTAGTGGACAGGCAATGCATCCTTATTATAGACGCAGGAAAGTTCTAGTTGGACCGGAAGGTGGCCCTATAGATTCCTTGAATTTGCTTTTTAGAAGGACATCTGGCGAGTTACGCGCAATAGCCAACGTCAGTGCTTCGGTTTGCATTAAGATATGCATAAAATTCAACTTTGGCTAGCATATTTTTAGTGGATAAGTCGCAGCAAATATACTATGGACCCGGTCCACAAAGCTTTGTAGATCGTGGTCCAAAACGACAGACACTATAGTGTATCTAAATTGACATTGTCTCACGTATTATTTTTATTATATTATCAAATGAAACTACAATTGAATTGAAATGAAACTGTAGTTGTGTTGAAATGAAACTGCAGTGTATACAAAATGAAACTGAATAATAGATTTCACATATTTGAGTGCATATTTTGCATCGAAAGTGTAGTTATATAAAAATGATACTGTAGTTGTGTTGAAATGAAACTGCACTGTATATTTGATGTCTAGACCATAATGCATTGTGGACCGCGGTCCCCGGTATAATTTGCCGAAAAGTCACTGGTAGGCCAAAAACTTGTGTGAGGATTTGTGCGACAGGTCAAGTCGGATCGAGTTTGATCAAGATGAAAATTTAATACTTATAATGTCAAACGTAATACTAATAAGAAATAAAATATTTATTACTTATATAAAAAATGTAATATTTTTGAAAAAAATGTAATACTTTTATCCATTTTGACTTACAAGTATTACATTTTTTTCTCAAAAGTATTATATTTTCCCTTATAAGTAATAAACACTTGTCAACATTACTAATAAGAGAAAATGTAATACTTTTGATGAAAAATGTAATACTTGTACATCAAAATGTAAAAGTATTACATTTGTTCTCAAAAATATATTATACTTTCTTGTATAAGTAACAAACATTTTATTACTAATTAATATTACATTTTCAATATAAATATTACATTTTTAGAACCCGACTAAACTCTACCCATTTCACGAATAAAGATCCATGATATGGTCTCACACAAATGTAACCTTATTCTAGACATTTCAACTCGACCTTTAAACTTTTATAAAAATAATATTAAGTCATTTATTTCCCCTATATGCCCTTTTCCTCTAAGGGTTCGTTTTGAAAATAGGAAAATGGCTTCTGGAAAATGAGTCATTTTCTAGGAGAAAAAAAAAAATCATTTCGAGTGTTTGGTTGCATTCCAGAAAACTGTATTTAGGTGTTTGGTTCATTTTCTGAAAAATGAACATAATTGTATAATTAAACATTTTAATCATGTTATTTAGATATAGTTAATACCCGCCAAGGTCCATCGAGTTTAGTGATTTTGCCACATATAGTCCTAATTTAGATATAACAACATTTATAATAACAATTTTCAGCAAAATCACATAAAAAAAATACAGCAAAATCTCACTGCAAAATCACATTGGCGAACTAGTTTTGGAACCAATAGGGCCGACTGGTTTCGAAAACTACTCGGCCATATGGTTTCCGATGCGGCCTACTGGTTTCTGACCTGGCGTGAGCAAGAGGCGGCCAACAGACAGGCATGGTAGAGAGGGCAGAGAACGAACATGGAAAATGACTTCTCCCAAAAAAGGGAAGTCATTTTCCTGAAAATTTGATGTATTTTTCATTGACCAAGACATGATTTTCCTTTGACTATGTTTTTCCTCATTGCCAAAAATTGGAAATCATTTTTTCGAGTTTCTAAACACACCCTAAGGGTGTGTTCTGGAAATCATTTTCCGAGTTTTTCGTGTTTGGAAGAGCCTGGAAAATCGAAGTTAACAGAAATCATTTTTCGGTCAAAGGGAAAACAATGTTGTTTTGGGAGAAAATGACTTCCGAAAAAATTTGACGGAAGTCATTTTCCACAAACCACAACTACATCGACAAGCACAACCTTGGTCTAGTTTCCTACATTTTCTAGGGTGCTCTGGTCGCCGGAAACTAGAGGTTTTTGGTTTAAAAAATAAATAACATTATTTTTAATATTATTATGAATATTTTTATATTTTAAATAAAACAATTAAAATATTTAATTATACAATTCTACTCATTTTTCATAAAATAAACCAAACAAAGACAGTTTCTAGAAAACAATCAAACACTGGAAATGAAAATGTTTTCTATAAAATGACTCATTTTCTAAAAAATATTTTTTCAAAAATTATTTTTCTGATTTTCAAACACACCTAAAGAAAAATTCTGTTTTTTTTTTTTTTAATGGTTTAAGGAAAACTCCTAACAAATTCATTTATTTACAAACTTATATATAGATCCACAAGTCGCATTGAACTTAATCTCCTGGGTGTGTCAAGCTAAGTCGAGTACAGAGTCACTATTCCAGAGTTAATTTCAGTAATGGTCCTCCGACTATATTGAATTTTTAAAATTAGTCATCGACTTTTAATTTGGACATTTTACGTTTCTTAACTTTAAATTTCGTTCCAATTGAGGTCCTTTCGTCAGATTACGATAAATTGGACTTTAAATTAACGGGTAAAGTAGTCATTTTATCTGCCTAATGTTTAATTCTTCGTATTTCTCCCTTGTATGCGCGACTTCGGACATCATATTCACTTAATTGCTTAATCCCTAAATTCACTCGAAGAACAAAATTCCTTTAGGGATTAAGCAATTAAGTGAATCTGATGCCCGAAGTCGCATATAAAAAGAAGAAATATGAAGAATTATACATTAGGCAGATGAAATGACTACTTTACCCTTTCATTTAAAATCTATTTTACCGTAATTTGACGAAAAGATCTCAATTGGAAAGAAATTGAAAATCAAAAGATGTAAAATATCCAAATTAAAAGTCAGGGACTAATTTTAAAAAATCAATATAGTCAGAGGACCATTGTTGGAATTAACTCCTCTGTTCTAGGAAGGTTGACTTGTTGATAACTACCCCATCTAAATTTTAATGTTACTCCATATAATTTAGTAGCTACATATCTATATGCTAATTTAGTGTCCCCTGTCAACGGCTGTTCTCATCGTAATATTACAACAATAATGGAGTTGTAGAGAGAAGACTTACATTTCACGAAATGAAATTTATAATAATATGCATCAAACTATCAGATTTGCCAACGCCATACAATACGATGTTGTGCCAACATTATTACGTTAAACAAACAGTGCAGCGCAGCTCATATCACTATATCAGGCTAACGTTTGAAACTCTGATCTCATAATATTCAGTTACCAATGACCCCTCATATCTTCATACCCCTTCCCATGCGAATAAAAGGAACCAAAATTCCGTCTTTAACTTAATCTTCAATCAGATTTTAACGTTTTGCCAATATCCAGCACAAATCTATATTTCACATCAGCTTTCACGAGACGTTCCAGGGCAGTATTGATATAATCCATCGGAACAATCTCAACATCTGGTGTTATGTTGTGCTTTGCCGAGAAGTCTAACATTTCTTGCGTCTCCTTAATTCCACCAATCACACTTCCCGCCACTAGCTTCCTACCTGTAGTAGTTATTCATTTCCAGAAATATAAGTATGTAACTAAGATATGTGTGTGTATATTTAACTCAACTCTTATCATCTTATGCCTGGTATAGATTGAAAGATGGATGTGGTTACCCATGAGCAAGGGAAACACTGGCAAGTCAAGTGGTTTTTCCGGGGCACCAACCATTACCAGCTTTCCATTAGTTTTCAATAAACAAAGTAATGGCAGAAAAGGGTGAACTGCAGAAACTGTGTCTATTATACCATCCAATGTGTTCATCGCAGCCTAATCAGAATACCACCAAGAATTAATTAATAATCAATCTATCCTCAATAATTTATACCATCAATGTTTCCTAAAAAAGAATTATGGATAATAATATTGTTACCTGCATTTGTTGTGGGTCACGGCTGATCAAGAACGAGTCTACACCAAGACGTTGAATAGCCTCTTCCTTTTTACTAGCGGAGGTGCTGATCACCGTCACCTTAGCTCCAAAAGCCTTGGAGAACTTCACAGCCATATGGCCAAGGCCGCCTAGACCGACAACGCCGATGTGCATTCCGGGCTTGTCAAGTCCGAAGTATCTCAAGGGGCTATAAGTTGTGATTCCGGCACAGAGCAGTGGAGCAGCCTCCAAGGGTAAAGTTTCCGGCCACCTGAGCACAAAGTGCTCGTCGGCCACCATGATGTCGGAGTAGCCACCAAATGTCATGGTCTTATTAGCATTGTAAGTTGGTATAGTTTTAGGGCAGTAGTTTTCTAGATCGCTGGAACAATTTTCGCAGTTGCGACAGGATCCAACCAGACATCCCACGCCTACTTTGTCGCCAACCTTAAAATTCTCGACCTTGCTCCCAACCTCAGTCACCACACCAACAATTTCGTGGCCGGGTACAATGGGATAGGTAGTGAAACCCCATTCATTCTTGAGCTGGTGAAGATCGGAGTGGCATACCCCACAGTACAAAACCTTGAATTGCACATCCTTTTCGCCCGTTTCCCTGCACCCATTAAAACCCAGAAATTAATTTTCACAACTATATATGCATTCAATTCGCTACGGATGACCCAAACAGAAATTATATTATTTGGCATACCTTCTGGAAAACTTGAAAGGAGAAAGAACTCCAGAGGCGTCTGTGGCTGCCCATCCAAACGCCTTCATTGGGTGCTCGTTTTCATAACAAGTTGCAGCTGCCATTTTCCTTTTCTCAGCGATGGGAACTGGTTCACAAGTCTTGTAAACTCAGCCAAAATGTGTAGCTCTTGAATGTTTATTGGACAGGCAATGCATGCTTATGTAGGCAATGATTGAAATTGTTGTTGGAAAGCCCGGCGGCCGGCCATCTTGACTTTGTTTTATCCTCCGTAGTAAAACGTACACCTGGCACGTATGATGTAATCCGTGAGGTGGAAAGCAATGGCGAACGTCAATGCTTTTAGAACAACCTCAATAGTGGAGGGTTTTTACTTTAATGGTACTTTTGGTTTGTAGAATAGGCTGGAATAATATA